GGTTAACTGTGTGCTGTTTTACTATGGGTGCTGTGTGTGTGTTTCAGTGTAAGCACACTGCTTTGTGTGGCTCTGCTATGCAGAGCCACACAAAGCAGTGTGCAGGAGCTGACAGGGGAGAGATCTGTATTGTTTACATACAGGTCTCTCCCCGTCCCGTCGGAAATCCTCGGAGATCACCGGGTGCCGGTAGAAAAACACTGGATTAACAGCCAAGGCCTAAAACGGTGGCATGGGTAGGGTGCGTGCACCCCCTACCTGGAAATACAAAATCACATATATATATACATGATTTTGCGCAGCCTTGCCGCCCTGTAGCAGTAGTTCTGCTATAGGGTGGCGCGGAAGCAGTTAAAAATGCATGTTACATAGCTGCTCTTTGAGATTAGGTTGTAGAAGAGTTAGGAGTTACTTACAGGGGTTGATTTACTAAAACTGGAGAGTTCAAAATCTGGTGCAGCTCAGCATAGAAACCAATCAGCTTCCAGGTTTTATTGTCAAAGTTGAACTGAACAAGCTGAAGTTAGACGGTGATTGGCTACCAAGCATAGCTGCACCAGATTTTGCACTCTCCAAATTGTAGTGCAATCAACAAGTCTCGTATCACATAAGGGCCCTCACATACCTATAAGCATATAATATACTATATGTATTTATAATGTGAGTTATTGCTTGTGTTTTTACGCATTACCTACTGTAATGAATATCAAACATGCTTCCTGGTACTTGATCAAAATAGGCCACATTTGGCTAAGGATCATCTATAGCCAAAGGAACATTTATATTTTGTATATATGTATTTATATATGTAGGTGGCTATTTATCTACAGTACATATCAATAAAGGCATTCTGTTGGCTAACATAATCATTTAATAATTGCTATTCCCTAATGAAGTACACTTGCTTTTCTTAATCTCCAAAAACAAAAATTGAATAGGTTGCAGCTTAACCTCTTCATGCCGGCCGCACACAAATTTGCGGGCTTCCGACGTCTGGGCGTAGATGCCGAGTGGCCGCACATTTACGTTCTATTAAAAAAGGACATATGTGCCAAGAGCGCACGCCCTGCGCGCTCCCAGCACACATGTCCGGTACTCACAGAAAGGTCCTGATCTCCTCTTTCGATTGGGACCTTTCCCGATCATGTGACCGCCGTGATGGCACGTCACGGCGGTCACATGTCCCTAAACCCCATCCCGCCTCCTGGCTTCTGGAACCTTTAAAGGGCCGGGAGGCGCCGGCATGAAGGGGTTAATGAATTTTGAATTTGGTAGCTGTATTTGTTTTTTTTTTTTCTCTTTTTAGTTTTTTTTGCCCTTATTCCACCTGGTCTTGACTTAAAAAAGGAGCAGTTACACTCCGAAACATGTAGCCACGTTCCCCATGCTGCGGCCCCCCTTAGGTGTGTCATCACGGTCCTACATAGTCTATGCGCTCCACGGTGGCTCAAGGATCTCCAGTTTCGTTTCTGGTGTCCTACACAGCTCCTGACAGCGGCATCTGCTTCCTGGCTCCTGAAGACACACTGAGGCTCAACAGCAAACAGCAGTGGGTGGATTATATGCTCTCATCTTTATGCGTCTTGTAAATTGCCACTTGATATTTTTAATACAACCTTTTCCTAGATACTATCTTAGTTGGCGCCCTCTGCTGTTTCCTTTATATATTGCAGAGATTACTTCAGTTTCATTGTGGAGCTGCCACAGAAATCTTAGGACCTGTGGACTTTTTAATATAATCCTGCCCCCCCACAACACATTCACATGCTGGATTATGTTATAGTTTAGCTGTATCCCTACCTGTGCCATTCTTGATAATAATCTGTATTCCAAACTACTTACAGCTGTTTTAGGCTTGTTGCATCCATGCAGTTTGAAATAATGTTTTCTATATTATTATGCAACAGCTTTGTAGTAGTAAACAGACAGGCTGTGTTGTGGTTTGTGCTGACTAGAATAAAAATACATGGAATAACTTTTACATTTTGATAGATATTCTTTACTATGCTTCAATTTATGATGGTTAATTTCAGATTGAAGCGTAGTAGTTGGTGTCTTGCTCTTTCAGGTTTACTGTTTTCAATGGTGGGGGGGCCTTCAGCTGTCTGTTGAGGAGTAAGGGCAAGGTCAGGCATACTTTTAGTACAGAGTTTGACAGTTACAATAAAAACTAATAAAATCTATGTCACATTTAAAGTTCATTTAAACCCCTTGATTTTTAAGCAACTGATTAAATTGCTTACTGAGTATGCAGCTTTTTCTCTGCCTACAGTATATACAGACACATCAGAGCTCTGATGAAAAAGGGACCCCCCTCTTCAGTGTCACTCTGAGAACTTCGCCTTCAGATGGGATTCGCATATGTCTCCTTATGGTAGTATGCGCTTTTGGATTGTATATGCCTGTTTTATTACTACTTTTGTGAGTATATCTTCTAAATCAATAAATCACTAACTGTTTACTGAGGTAATGCGCAAGGTTGGTGCGCTCTGTTTTTGTTCTCCTCTACAGTATGTACCTGTCAGGGCTCCCGGGTATGACCAGAGGTGTGTGACTGACTCAGGGAAACGCAGACTTCAGATATGTTATAAACAATGTAATTTATTAACACTAACAATACAAACATAAATGCAGTGCAATACTAAAACACAGTGCAAACAAACCAAACCAACCACCCACAGATAACAGTACATACAATGCAAGTGTCGTCAGGCAGGCCGGGTCAATATCAATCGGGCAGGTAGGTACAGGGGGAGCAAGCGGAGAATGGTCGGGGTCACAAGCCAGGTTCAGCAGGTAGCGGGCAGCGTGGTACAGAGGGTCAGGCAGAGGAGAATGGTCAGACAAGCCAGGGATCAGGAGCAGGAGAATGGTCAGACAAGCCAGGGATCAGAGCAGGGTCAGCAGAGAATCAGACAGGAACAGGAACAGCAACAGGAAACAGGAACAGGATACAGGGCCCAGGAGAAACACAACACCAAGGCAGAGTCTGCAGGTCTGAATGTCCCTTAAATACACCAGTATAATTAGTTCCAGGTGTTTGACTGGCTGCAAGGTTGAGTCTCTGATTGCTGGGAGCACCCGCTGGCCAGCCCTGGTACTGCAGCTCATAAGGCAGGTGAGTCCCACTATTGCTGGCCAGTCCATTCCTGACAGTACCAGTTTAACCTTGTGCCATGTTTAAGGGTCACTCCTTTCTCTTGCAGTGACCCATGGAGACACCCATGCATGCTGGTATTAGAGTTGTGTCTCCCTACACTGTGTGCATCAATAGAAACACACACCCTCAAAGCCTAGGATGGCAAGACACTCCTGTGCTCCATGTCAACCTTCACCTCTCTCCCCTCTCCAAGTTAGCAGATTGACTGGAGACTGCACTGTCCACTGTTGACTCTTTCCTGTAAAGACCGGAAGTTCCGGAAAGCATCACTGACAGAGTAGTAGACAGCAGCACTGAAAGCTGTAAACCGCAAGTGATGGGTACAAATTTTAACAAATAGCTTTCTGGGGAATGTTTAGTTTATTGTGCTCAATGTGTTAGGCTGAAAAAATTAAGGGCATAATACTACTTTAATATTTTTCCCTATCTTTGGACTCTCTTTAGAATGTATTGAGCCATCCCTTTGCAGTTGAGAGTGCAAGAGACAAACAATCCACCAACACAAACATATAATACATGTGAATCCGAGTGAATCCAGTCTGTTATTATGTATCACACATAAAATGCAATGATTTCAAGCAGACAAGGCACAATTTTAAAGCATCAAAATGCCAGATTTTATAATAAAACATTCTAAAACCGTTAGTCATGAATACTGCTAGTTTTCTGCAAGACACAACAGACTTTCTTAACAAGATCAACAACAACATACAGCAATTACCATCTATTACACTTCTAGTGACTATGGATGTAGTATCCCTGTATAGTAATATCCCTCACAAGGATGGATTAGCTGCATGTCACAGATCCTTATCATCCTCACCAAACCACAAATACACTGCTGAGGATGTTACACAGCTCATAGTTGTTACACAACTACTTTGCTTTCAATAAAGACATCTATCTTCAATGTATGGGTACTGCGATGGGAAGTAAAATGGCACCCCAATATGCCAATTTATTTATGGCTGACCTGGAGGAAAAATTCCTGAACTGCATGGAAAAAAACTATACAGATACTATCGCTATATTGATGATATTTTCATCATATGGACAGAAGGTGAAGATAACCTAAAACAATTTTACTCATTGATCAACACTTTTCATCCATCAATCAAACTAAAAATAGAATACTCAGACACACACGTCAACTTCCTAGACACAGCAGTATACATCAGGGATGCTACACTTCACACCTCAATATACAGCAGCGGTTCTCAACCTGGGGGTCGCGACCCCTTTGGGGGTCGAACGACGCTTCCACAGGGGTCGCCTAAGACCATCGGAAAAAACACATATTTCCGATGGTCTTAGGAACCGAGACACTGCTCCTCGCCGCCGCCGCCGCCACCCACCGCCGTCTCCAGGTGTGGGCGGGATGACATGCCGCCCCTGTCATCTGGACACACCTCGAGATCAATCCTCGCCTGTGATTAGACGCCGGCACTGTAGCTCAGGAGAGGCACACAGGCGGCCAATCACCGGCAAGGAGGTGGAGCTTGGAGAGGAGGAGCCGAGCGGCACCGCAAAGATCGAGCGAGTGAAGAGGAGGAGAGCGGCCGGAGAAGGAAAACATCTGACAGGTAAGTGTCGGTACCATGGGAGAGGGAGGGAGCGAGCGAGCCCAGGCTGGAGCAGGGGTCTGCAAGGTAAGTATCATTGGTGTCAGTGGGAATAGTGCCCCATCATTGGTGTCACTAATACCAATGATGGGGCACTATTCCTCTCACTGACACCAACGATGGGACACTATTCCTCCCACTGACACCAACGATGGGGCACTATTCCTCCCACTGACACCAACGATGGGGCACTATTCCTCCCCCAAATGACACCAACGATGGGGCACTATTCCTCCCCCACTGACACCAAGGATGGGGCACGATTCCTCCCCCCACTGACACCAACGATGGGGCACAATTCCTCCCCCCACTGACACCAAGGATGGGGCACTATTCCTCCCCCCACTGACACCAAGGATGGGGCACTATTCCTCCCCCCACTGACACCAAGGATGGGGCACTATTCCTCCCCCCACTGACACCAAGGATGGGGCACTATTCCTCCCCCCACTGACACCTATGATGGGGCACTATTCCCCCCACTGACACCTATGATGGGGCACTATTCCCCCCACTGACACCTATGATGGGGCACTATTCCCCCCACTGACACCAATGATGGGGCACTATTCCCCCCACTGACACCTATGATGGGGCACTATTCCTCCCCCCACTGACACCAATGATGGGGCACTATTCCTCCTCCCACTGATACCAATGATGGGGCACTATTCCTCCCACTGATACCAATGATGAGGCACTATTCCTCCCACTGACACCGATGATGGGGCACTATTCCTCCCACTGACACCGATGATGGGGCACTATTCCTCCCACTGATACCGATGATGGGGCACTATTCCTCCCACTGATACCGATGATGGGGCACTATTCCTCCCACTGACACCGATGATGGGGCACTATTCCTCCCACTGACACCGATGATGGGGCACTATTCCCCCCACTGACACCGATGATGGGGCACTATTCCTCCCACTGATACCGATGACGGGGCACTATTCCTCACACTGATACCGATGACAAGGCACTATTCCTCCCACTGACACCGATGACGAGGCACTATTCCTCCCACTGACACCAATGACGGGGCACTATTCCTCCCACTGATACCAATGACGGGGCACTATTCCTCCCACTGATACCAATGATGGGGCACTATTCCTCCCACTGACACCAATGATCGGGCACTATTCCTCCCACTGATACCAATGATGGGACACTATTCCTCCCACTGATACCAATGATGGGGCACTATTCCCCCCCACTGACACCAATGATGGGGCACTATTCCTCCCACTGATACCAATGATGAGGCACTATTCCTCCCACTGATACCAATGATGGGGCACTATTCCTCCCACTGACACCAATGATGGGACACTATTCCTCACACTGACACCAATGATGGGGCACTATTCCTCCCACTGATACCAATGACGGGGCACTATTCCTCCCACTGACACCAATGACGAGGCACTATTCCTCCCACTGACACCAATGACGGGGCACTATTCCTCCCACTGACACCAATGACGGGGCACTATTCCTCCCACTGATACCAATGATGGGGCACTATTCCTCCCAATGACACCAATGACGTGGCACTATTCCTCCTACTGCAAAATTACAGTTATGAAGTAGCAACGAAAATAATTTTATGGTTGGGGGTCACCACAACATGAGGAACTGTATTAAGGGGTCGCGGCGCTAGAAAGGTTGAGAACCACTGATATACAGGAAACCCACTGACAGATACAACTACCCCCACAGTTCTAGCTTCCACCCCCAACACACGAAACGTGCCATCATACACACTCAGGCCATCAGATACCACCGAATATGTTCTGACCCCAGAGACAGAGATACACATCTCGGGACACTAGCAGACGCCTTCCATAAGGAAGATTACAAGGACAAAACTATCAACTCCGGCATAAACACAGCCTTGAGAACCCGAAGAGAAAAACTACTTCAGTACAAGGAAAAAAAAACAAACAACCGTGTACCTCTAGTAACCACATACAACCCAGCACTAGAAGGAATAAAAAAAATAATCAAAGATTTACAACCCATCATAACAGAGGATGGAACTCTGAAACAAATATTCCAGCAACCCCCAATACTGGTTTTCAGACAACCCCCCAACCTCAGAAATAAACTAATCAGTAGGAAACTTCCTTCTGATTATGATGTCACAAATAATGGAAGTGAACCCTGCAATGGAAAACGCTGCAAACTGTGCAACCAAATCAATCCATCAAAAAGTGTCAGACACTCAAAAGACATATTCAATATCTCCGGATCATACAGCTGCACCTCTAGTAATGTTGTGTACCTTATCCAGTGCAGTAAATGTAGCAAAGGATCTTATGTTGGCGAAACAGGACAGAAGTTGCAAACAAGGATGAATTTGCATAGACATACCATCAAGGAACATAAAAAAGATGACTTCTGCACACCTGTTGGACACCATTTCACACAACCAGACCACACTTTGGGAGACCTCAATATTTTAGTAGTTAAAGGAAATTTCAAAACTATTCAGGAAAGGAAAAATGTTGAACTAAGAATGATAATTTTATTTGATACAAGAGATAACGGCCTTAATTTGGACATGGGATTCCTCGCTCATTATCCAACAGTTTTATGACTATTAGCTCAAGCATGACTGCCTCTGTGAGTGTTGTCTCCCCCCCCAGTCTTTGCTTTTGCTGTGTTTTATCTCTAGTCTAATCCTAGTTTTATAACCATTGCTGTGTACAGTTGTTTGTGTAAGTTTCTTTCTGGGTTTGTTTTTTGTTTTTTTATTTCTCCCCTCTCCACATCTCTTTTAACATTCTGCTAAAACTTTGTGAAGTAGTACTGCCTGGACCTTGAAGAAGGGGACATACCCCGAAAGCTTGTCCTCAAAATTGTATGTTAGTGCAAATAAAAAAAGTATCATGTCAATACTCAATAATAAAACATTTAAATTGTTATCTGGAAATGTAAATTGAAATGTTTTTTCACTGTGCTAAAGTCAAGCTAATAAACTCCATTAAGGCTACATTGTAGTAACTTTAAGAGGAGTAAGAGCCAAATGCTCCCTAGAACATTTTCTTCCCCGTATTATTTTGTTTCCTTCCTGTACTGTAAAAGATTGTGAAGGAAAGTTCAGTTTCAAGTTTATTACTCTCTACTGGCAAGGGCATTGGAAGAAGCTTTTTAAATGTGTTACCACTCTGAACTGTGAAAATCTAACCTGGCACCTAGTAATGGTGACAGATGGCTTTATGGAACTCAGAAGTTTGTGGTTTGATTTTACATCATATGGTTATACAGAATTAATATTCTTTTGTATATTTACCAAATGTATTGATTTAGCATAATAAACTTTTGAGGCAAAAAATTTTTGGAAAGAAACAGTGGGTATAGGCCGGGCAAACTGACAACTCATGGGACCCCCGGGCAATAGGGGATCATGGGGCCCATGTGTCCTTGCCCAAACTTAAAAAAGCCTATGAAAAAGGTACCAGGGGCACCTCATGGGGCCCCCTACTGACCCTGGGCCCTCGCGCAGCGTCCTATTTTCCATATGGTCAGTCCACCCCCGGGTATAGGTCATCCCAAATATATATAACAGAAAAGAGTTACAGAAGACTCACCCTCCTCTTTCCCATCATGGTCCAGCCAACCTTCTCCAATGTACCCTTGCAAACAGTATTCTGTTATGAAATAAATTGTTCTAATTGAAGACGACTGATCCAAGGGTAAATAAGTCTAGTTTATGCAAAAGTACTTGAAAACCTTTCGCAAACTATTGCCTATGAAAGTTAATTTTTATGAAAGTAAAAGCTGAGGTTTACCTAAAATTTTTTTTTTCTCTATGTCTTTAATGACACTACTTAACAAAGTGTAATCTGTAATGAAGTATGTTCCAGGATGTGCAGGGTTCTGGATTCTCTAGAAGTCTTAAAGTGTTACTACAACCACAACCAGGGGCGGACTGACAACTCATGGGGCCCCTGGGCAATAGGGGATCATGGGGCCCCTGTGTGCTTGCCCAAACTCAAAAAGCCTATGAAAAAGGTACCAGGGGCATCTCATGGGGCCCCCTACTGACCCCGGGCCCTCGGGCAGTGCCCGAGTTTCCAAATGGTCAGTCCGCCCCTGCCCACAACAGTAAAATCAGTCTGTTTATGCAGTAAAGCATGCTTGTTATACTCACTATGGAACCTAAGGGGTTAATCCTCTTCATCAAAAATACCATTTGATCCGGACTTCTATGCTCCTCCTCTTGTTGAAATGTCCGTGTCTTATCTCCTGATAAGACAGACTGAAATGTAGCCATTCTGCATTGGGAGAGTGCATGTGATCAACACAGGGCCAATCAGCACTGTCCAGACAGAGGTTATGGGTTTTGCATCCTCCTCAAAAACTCCTCCTACAAGCTTTAACCAGTGCTCTGCTGAACACTGATAGAAGTCACAAGACTGCTCTAACTGCTGATGAGAAAAGGTATTTAGCAGTTTATTGTTACTAAAATAATTGCACTTTCATGTTCTGTGTACTGTGGGAGATCAGATATAGTGAATGCAGGGTCCTGGGTTTAGTAACACTTTAACTGCAGGGCTGCCCTGTCCTCTTCCTGCTGATGAACTTCTGGTGCTGTGAGGGTTAACAGCTTGTCTCCAAACTCAGCTGCTCTAAAGATGATCTGATGTTGAAATAGTGTATAATAATTTTTTTTATATAAACAAATATAAAAAAAAGACCAAAATTTTGGGAAACACAAAAACCCAATATTTTCTACTTTTTGTTATAAAACATATCCAACAAATTTAAATTTTTTCATAAATTTAGGCCAAAATGTATTCTGCTACATACCTGGTAAAAATAAAACTGCGTTTTTGGGGACAGTATACTATTGGGGACACTAGTATAGTTCTGATTGAGATCAAGATACTATAGTAATGGTGATGACAAGCGACTTATAGTGTGACTGTGATAGTGTGGTAGGCAATCTGGTTATAACAGACACTGGCTGGAAGGGACACTGACTAACTGGCATTGACGTTGCTAATGACACTAATAAAATAAACTGTATACAATACTATACACTTTACTAATGACACCAGCTGGGAAGGGACTAACATCAATGGGCAATGAAAGGGGTTAACTGTGTGCCTAACAAGTGTAATGTGTGCTGTTTTTACTCACAGATCTGGCTGCTTTTCCTCCCTGTTTTTTAGGGAGAAGAAAAAGCCAGATCGCTGTTCTGTGTACACAGAGTTCTGTGTGTTTGCTCTGTGGTTGGTGACAGCTGATCAGCAGGTTGCAAAATCATTGGTTGAAACCTGCTGACAAACTCATGTTGTGTCCAATCACAGCACAGGTCAGCAGGGGATGCAGACATGTACGCCTGAGAACCACGTAGTTCACCGCAACGTACAGGTACCTCATGGTGCCTGGCTGTGCCACCTGTAATTGTTTTTGATTATGCTTCCACCTTGTGTATTACATGTTATTTTCTATACTTCATCCCCCTTATTGTGTTGTAATTTCATTTTCCTTGTGTCTGGGCTTTTCTAATCCTTCCTCCTCTCAAGACACTCGTTTTTACTGCCCTAAACACTTCTATATCAAGTCTACCATATCTTTTTCTATTTCCATAGCATTCTGCATGCAATAGAGACATTTATGGATTTCAATTGTTTAGTGAGTTCAGCTATCTTCCAAAATATTAGCCAGCAACTCGATTGCTTCTTAATCCAGTTTGTTTATTGGTTACAAAATATTGGTACAGGATCTGTAAGTCTAACGCGTTTCGGCGAGAGTCTTATTGATAGCATGCCAGACTATCTGTTAGCATTCTACAAGGAATTGAGCTTAGATAAAGGAAGTCCTGGGGACATGGTGTATCTGGATTTTGGCAAAACATTCAATACAGTTCCCCATAAGTACTTAATTTACAAATTGAATAGACAATAATGTACTGTATGTAGTTGGATAGAAAACTGGTTACAGGGGCATGTTCAAAGAGTGGTGATAAATAGTGTGTTTGATGTTTTAAGTGGGGCACCCCTAGACTCTATTCTGGGTCCAATTCTGTTTAATGTATGCATAAATGATATAGAGGTTGGTATAAATAGTTCATCTCAGTATTTGCTGATAATACAAAGATAAGTAGGGCAATAACTTCATAGCAGGATGTAAAAACTTTACAAGAAGACCTCAATAAAATAAAGGGATTGAAAACTACATGGTAAATGGTGTTTACTATTGAAATATGTGGCAGCCCATTTTTATTAAAAAGAAAAAACAAAATGAAAGTTCATAAACACATGGATTCCCCACACAGGGGTTCTTCTCCAGTATATATAACAAATGAAAAAAATACAGAGTGACCTAGTTCTTAAGCACACTGTACCTCAACTTGCATTTCCCTGCTGCACAGGCCTACTCAGGACCTCAACAGGATTATCCAGCCCCTCTGGGTTTCCCCACTCTCCCTGAGACCTCTGGACTTCCTCCAGCTCTCCTGGACTTCCTAGCCACCTTGGCTTTCCCAGCCTCGCAGACCTTCTCTTGGTCTCCCAGGCCTGTGTAGTTGTTCCAACCTTTCCCGTCCTTCGGGCAAGAAGCTCCCCCTCAGAAGGGATGCAGTCTCTGTCAGGAAAACCCAGGTTTCCAAACAGGGTTCTGACTCCAAAAGGCAGCAACTGCTGCAACTCCAACTGCCCTGAGCTATGCTCAGATCTGCCTTATAACGAGTGTGTGCACCTAGACACAAACACAACCTGTAGAACTTCTGGAAAACCTGGACATAGGACTGAAGACTCCTCCTCATCCAATACTCTTTGGAGCCTTCAAACTTCCATCCCCGATCCGGACTTACCAAATCCAGCAAAAACTTAAAAAAACAGTTTTCTCTGCACACATTACATCTGCTGGCACTTCTCAACTGACTGTTTAAGAGTCTTATGTTCTTTTTAAACCCTTTTTTCCAGAGGCAGGGACTCTTACTATCACAATATATAAATTGTAGTGTAGTGTACATTAAACTAAAAACATGTAACATCAAACATGCATAGTAGTTCCCACTGGTATACAGTAATTCTTATGCTTAGTCAGTTATCTAATGTCTCTATCGAGCACAATGCCAGTCATCTGATAAAACATAAAGTTGTGAGAATATAAGTAAAAGAAACACATCGGAAAAAGTGAACACATAGCAAAGGAAAAAAAAAAGGTTTAAAAGAGGTTTATTCGAGAAGTACCGCAAGTCTGTATTAAGGGTACAAATCCATATTGTCAGGACAAATCTATTCTTTCAGATTGCCATTGCAGGTTTAGTCCATGGATTACTTAAAAGAAATATTTAAAGTCTCAATACACTTCCATTTAATGGTAATTGTCAATCTAGCCACAAAGGGTACAGGCCAATACTCAATAAGGCTAGCTGAGGTGAGGATGATGTTAATATACCTGTCAAGCCAGACATTTAAGTATAACTAAAGGCAAAACTTTTTTTTTTTAGTTTTGGAAGACGGAAGAGGGATTAGAACACAGGTTAGTTTTTATTGCATTCTGTATCCCCATTGGGGAGATTCACCCTCACTATTTGTTCTTTTTTACTATTAGCAGTGAAAGTAAAAGAAAATCCCAAATTTTGAGTTGTCCCCAGAAAAGTTGGGAAAGAAAGATGGAAAATCTTCTGATGGGGACACTAGTTCTGGTGACCTGGGGATCCCCAAGGACATTTCCTAAATTTCCTCTCACTTTCGGTTTGGCTTTGGACAGGCAGTGAAGGGAAATCTTCGCAATGGGACATGGATGGCAAAAAAAAAAAATTGACAGGGGTTATAACCCTCCCTTATTCTATCCAAAATGAACAAAAAAAATGTTTTGCCTTGTTCTATGTACTCTAAAAATGGAAACCCAAAAATTCTTCTCTGGGTACTCTGGTTTCCTCCCACACTCCAACGACATACTGGTAGGTTAATTGAATCCTATCTAAAACTGGCCCTAGTGTGTGTATGTATGAATATAAGTTAGGGACCTTCGATTGTACGCCCCTTGAAGGTTAGGGACTGATGTGAATGTACAATATATATGTAAAGCGTTGCGTAAATTGACGGCGCTATATAAGTACCCAATTTCTATACATTCTCTCCCACAAAGAGGAGCAAACTATTTCATTTTATGACATGCCTGATCTAATGGGTCCCATATCAAAATGTCTGTATTGCTCTGAATAAGAGTCTGTGATGTGGAGTGCAAACTAGTAGAAGGCCAAGAAATGTAGGCAGGAAGATATCTCTACTGGAGAGAAACTTCAGTTTTAAATGGAATTACCCTTACAACTGGCATGCTAGCATTAAAACAAATGATAAGGCTGCAAAGAATTTAAAGCAGGTTCATGGTTCTGCGGTTTGGCCACAGCGCACTTGTATGTGAGGTTACCTGAGCTCTCAGGTGCGCTCCCATTTACTTCTATGAGACTATGCATTTTCATGACAGTGCAAAGTCCTGCATGAATGATATTATTGTAACTGTAAAAATATCTAATTCAATCTACTCTATTCTGGTAAATAGAAACACACACTTCAGGCCACTTCTAAATTTATCTCTTGTTCATGTAAATCAAAGCTGTAGGAATTCAAGAGAAAATTCTATTTTTGAAGCTTTGTTATTAGCTCTGTATTTCTGTGGTTTATTAAATAAACACTTGTACATTTATGCAAGTGCTTTATAATAACAAAGCACTGATCTTCTAATTAATGCAATCAATCACAGTGACATTATGTTTAGATGAAGAGATGCCTTGCTGGCAATCATAGCGACATGTATGAAAACAGGCCTAGATGAGAATGAAGATAGACAAAGAATTCTGTTTTCTTTTCAAATGGACCTGCAAAGGCTTGCAATCAAAATGTGGTCATGCACACAAATGCATTTACAGGCATATTAGAGGAGGAGCATTTACAGGATGAAAAAAAAATCCATCACCAGCGGGTTCAGGAGAGGAGCTTTTGGGCAGAAAAAAATGCATGAGATACTTAAATGCATCTTAACGTGTCTAAACGCTAGACGTGTTTAGAGATTTAGTGTTCATTTATTACAACTGGCAGAATCAATATTCTGGCTAATGGAATCCATGAATACTCAAATGCTTGACACTCTTGAATGTGTTTAAACACACCTAAAC